TTTGTTCACAGACTCAATACTAAATTTGACATCTTGGGCTACCTGATGAACAGCAATACAAAATGGCTGTCTCCATTTCATGGATGGTGTCCACACCAATGGCAGACTAGGGTCCCCCTGGGATAGGAGCCGTTTCCACAGATCTCCGACCAAACCTTGAATTGGCGAGGCCAATGTTTAACAACGTCATATAATGGGGAATCCTCCCCAAAAGTAGCTTCCATTTCATCGAAGGCCTCTTGCGGTGTATGGCCATTCAAGCATAAAAACTCGATCACTGCTCGATAGTCCACTGGCTTCATTTTCATACCTTGCTGCACCTTCACTGCTGCAACATAAAAAAATATATATATATGAGTTAAGGAATGGAAATCAACACATGACATTTAGAGATGGGTATCTTTTTAAGCACGAGGAATTTCAGTGTGTGTGTGTGTGTGTTGTGTGTGTGTGTGTGTGTGTGTGTGGTGTGTGTGTGTGTGTGTGTGTGTGTGTGTGTGTGTGTGGTGTGTTGGTGTGTGTGTGTGAATAGAAATATACAGTAACGTAATATTCACAAAAAGTTCGTGACTCAACCACACTGGAAGCGAATATACGTGACGTTTCGAAAACGTCGAGTTCATCAAATGTTACGATAAACAAATATTTGGATTTTACACTTGATGAAGAAATCTTCGAAAACGATTATATATATATATATATAATATATATATATATATATATATATTTATATATATATATTCAGAGAGAGATAAAAAGAGAAAGCTGCTACCAAGATGTGGTCGGTACTGGAAAACGTTCATTCATACGAGCGCAAGCGCACTCACACCTCCGTGTGGTCATCACACAAATGCGCTACAGGGATAGAGAAAGATAGTGTAACGCAGTGCTTATGTGTATCATTTAAGAAATTAATTCAAGCGAAATATAAAAGTAACAGTCCATTTAAGATGTATATAAGTAAATGTTGTAGTTTTGTGTTTCTTGGTTTGAATTCATACATTCAGAAAAAGTAGAATGACCTTGTGATCATTTGACATATACTATTTTGTTGGATTATGTCTCGAATTTGTACATTTCATTATCATGACTGAGGAATGAATGAAGATTGTGTTCTAGAGTATTGCGAGAATGTAGTAGTAAAGGTTAGAACTGTTTAGATTGCTTATCACATATACAACTTTTAATTTTACCCGATTTTAGGCAGTTCATCATTGTAATTGTAGTAGGTTTGGTCATTAGTTCTGATAAATGATATACCGTAATACATTTCACTGTTCCATTCCTTCAGTGTTTTTTTTTTTTTTTTTTTTTTTTTTTTTGCTTGGGGATATACATGCATGTAGATTTGAACTTCACTTTAGCTCTTCAAGAGTTGTTCAGAATTGCAATCACAGTATCCTTAAAAGTATTTTGATTTTTTCTGCAAATCTAATATTAGTAGAGGAATAACCCATTACTGGATCAACTGCAATATTCATATTTACAATCCTGGGAATATAGTACTACTTAATTGACTTTGGTTAAAAAAAACTCATGTTAATTCAAATACAATTGTACCTTTTAGTGTTATATTTTCATAGAAAACACCTTTTAATCCGTTTGGGCTCTTTTTTAATGTATGAAAAGTAAATATTTCAGAATTTAAATATGTAGGTTTTGTTGCTGTTAGATATTCCCATGTCATATTTGATATAATTATAGTTAGATTTAATTCAAACTGTATATTTTGTTTTCCTTAATATGTTAGCTGCTACTGGCCATGTCAGGTGGAATACTTTTGAGTAGCAAATATGAAAGTTAGTCTGAGTTTTCTTTGAAGTCAGTTTAGAGTCTTCCATGTATTTTTTGAGACAAAACAAAAATTGAATGCAAATGTAATCATCATAAGGCATCAGTTGATGAACACACTAGATGAGTCAGGTAATTAAACAAAATCAGTCCCAGTTTTCCAAATTCAAGCCTCAACAGACAGCTACTGGAGTCACTAGTAAAGCAATTTATGGAGGGTTTTCTGCGGCCAGTTCTGGAAAGTCTGGTACTGCTCAGGAAAGTGAATGCCAGGATTTTCTTCTGACTTCAGGTGCTCGATAGTCTCCAGAGTGTATTGTCACATTCATATGGTAAAAGATGACCTGGCTCATGATGAGGTAAGGAAAAGGCAGCCACATCAACTGATAAGGAATTTTAATTTACATTATTGACAGGTAGACAAAACCCAAGCCCTAAGCAAATATAAAGAAGTAATATAGGCCAAAAAAATAAAGGTTTTAATACGTTATGATAGTTCTTTCCTTTTTAAATTCCACTGTGTCACCCACTTTCATTTCTTCATTGGTTTCCCAAGGTCCCTATCCATATGATTAAACAAATTACAAGCTAGATGAGCTCAGCTGGTGGTCTCCCTTCCCACTGGCATAGCCATTTGGTTGGTTTCCCCAAAGTACAGACAGTGCCAGGACATGTGGATGGGATCAAATTCTTCTACAGCAGCTAGCAATCGAATAGTCTGGTTGAGAGGAGACATGGGACTTGTGTCAAAAAGGATTTTTAAGCACAAGTTTGTCAAGTTTATTATTTCTTTCCATATTGTAAACCTTTCATTGCTTTAAACAGGAACATTAGTCTTTGTTTGTACATCTATACCTTTATACCCACTTCAACATTTAGTATCAACTTTTGCTGAAACAGAGGCCATTTGCTTTTTTCTTTTTTTTTCAATCTAATGCTCAAGTGATCTATGGAATGCATGCACATACCATCTTAACATTAAAGTATCCAATCACAATTACTAATATAGAGAAAAATGTGATAAAATCCATTATAAGTATAATAAAACATCATTAAAATTATTAACTTTATTGAGATAGCACTTTGTAACATATATATTTAACAGAATACATCTGTGGAAAGAAAGAAGAGAATAGAGAGTAATTAATATTCCTTATACATATATAAATTTACAGTTTTCTTTCACTTACAAGTGAATCTAGTGAAATAAAATGAGTCAATGTGATACCTATGGACTGAGCCATTTCAGGTTCACACATTTTCATTTGCTTTAAAATGGTTATGATGATAATTCTTTACAGTCAAATTTATACAAAAAAAAGTCATATAAAACTAGTAAGATTTCAATAATCTTTTCTATAAACTGATTTCCTATTTACATTAAAAACATACATTAATGATTTACAGTATCATATAAAAAAAGAAAAGAAAATACAATAACACATCCATTACTATATATTATTACATTACTTCCCTCTCACTAGAACGGTGGGAAACAGAAGACAGTCAAATCCTTGTGCATGCAAGCATACAAAAAAGAAATTTGAGAGATCAGAAAGACTTTGGCAAGTAAGCAAACACTGGATATAATTTTCTATTATTCACACCAAGTGTCCATGGCATTGCGTGCATACTCCAAGGTTGTATACTAATGCTTTTTTCCACAACTTTTTCAAAACCTTTGACACTATGAGATACACTGTTACTAAAGGAAAACTCTTGTAATTTCTCTTGCAGAAAACCACCTCCAACTTTTGATCCAAAACATTGTTTGTTGGCGAAATCTTTGAGAACATCTTCTGTCTTCATCACTGGTTGTATTTTACTTTTTTCAGTGTTCTCACCCCAAGCTACATTTTTATTAAGGCAAGATGACTGCCATCCCTATGGCTTATACTGAAAATGTGATAACGATTTTGCTGATGAGGACAAGGTGTCTCTATATGGCCCCCTCTGAGTTGGTGGAACATTCTCCTGATTACTCATTTGTCCTCTTGCCTTTAGGAAGCTTGAAGTACGCCGTAGAGCTGCTCCAAGACCTGCCAAATGATTATGCAATTAGATAACTAGTTTTACAATAACGTTCTTTGTAACTAAAATAAACAAAATGAATAATAATAATTAAAACTCAATTCTTAAACATTAAACAAAGTATAATCAAATATCCCTCATTATCCAAAATATCCCTTTACATAAATTTCACATACCTGCTAACTTCTGCTTATTGTTAGCCACTGACTGACCGCTGGTTCTCAGAGAATTGGACTGGTAAGGACCTAGGGCAGAAAGTGCTCAGGCTCTTCTTCATCCCTGAGATTTGACTTTTGCCAGGTGTGATGTTTTTCCCAGGTGTGGTAGTTTTGCCAAAGCCCCTGCCTATAATCGTCCCTTTCCCTGGTGTGGTACCACGTGTAGGCGTTTTCTGTGGTGTCTTCTTTAAGATCCCCTTGACAGTCTACCGATGAAAATACTTGTCAGTGACATTCAAATATGTAATACCAAGCAGCTAGGTTAAGATAAATCATACATATTTTATATTTCCCTAAAACAAATATTCATACCTTACAAGAAACAAGCAATTCACATTTCAAGTATTATAGCTCACATTTTAATGCTGATATCTAATGCACCATTACATTTTCTGAACAGAAGATGAATCTATACCGATAAACCTCCAATACAATATCCTTCAATGTATAGAATTCATGATGCATTTTTTAATCATTAGCAAAGAGCACACCTGATATAAAAAAACTAAAATACATGTATCATAAAAAAGACCTTTGTAGGTGGAGGCATGAGAATTTCACTGGCTGGTTGTACTTCCACAGGCTTGATGAGAGGGCTGTGCTGCTGTACCTCAAATGTCATCCTTCTCAACTGGTTACTACTTAGCACTGGCGATTTTAAAGTTTCAAAACTGCAACCTACGAAGAAAGATACTCCAATCAGTAACATTATTCCAGTAGTATCAGAGTGCAAAAATGGAATAAAAGCTGTACAGGGGAGGATTATTTTTCTTGCATATACAAAAACTGAGTTCAAAATGCAATAGTTGAGACAATAAATGGTTAATAGGTAAAACAAATAAATGTGCTGAACATCAGAAGTCTTAGCCCTACAGTAAAGTAATCAAAAGTGTAAAATGATTACGACAAAAGGGTTTAGATGTCAAAGGTCACAGAGTGCTTTAAAATATTATGGAAGTGAAAAGGGTTAAGAATGGAAGCAAATGGAGGAAGACTGGGATTAGTAAAGGGAGGAAGGGTTAGAGTATATGTCTAAGGAAGGATGAAGAATATTGAAAAAGCAATTACTAGTAATAGGGATAGAAAGGTGTTAGGCAAGAAGTGTAGAAAAACATGTAAATAAATAAAAACAAACCTAGACTTGCTCCAATTGTGTCCTTAGGTTTTCCTTGGTCGTCTTCTACGCAAAATGTAGAGTCCAAATTAGAGGTAAATAACTTTCTGAGGTTGTTTTCAAAGTTACTGGTTCAGGAAGCGATATGGCATCATTTGGGATATTCATATTTGGTAGCTTTGCATAAGTCTCCCCAAATGGTTTTATTTTATCTACAGCATTTTGGTTGTACATACTAGACTGAATTGTTGGCACCTCCAACTTGAGGGATATCACAGGTTTTATTGAACTCTCAGTACTTGTAGTACAAGAATTAGAAGCTTCACCAGCATTACTTCCACATGGTTTTGACACTATATCCATAGTAGTATTCAAGGCTGGATTTGAAGTAAGACCAACAGTAGCATTTGGAAGTGATGGCTTGGAGGTCATATCAATTGTTGTATTCAAAAAGGATGGCTTGGAGGATATGTCAACTGTTGTATTCAAAAGTGAAGGCTGAGAGGTCATGGTGGAATGCAGATTAGGCTTGCTTGTAGTCCTTATCAAGGATGGATTAGAACCTGATCCAACAGAGGTAGTAACAAGTGAAGGCTTTGAAACTTCAAGGGTAGTGTTTAAAACAGACTGTAGGGTAGATATGTTAATGGCTGTACTCAGTGTTCCCAGTGTAGATTTTTCCACAGTGACACTCTTGGTTGGTAAATCAACTGTAGTATTCAAGCCTGCAGCATTTGCAGACATATCAATTGTGGTGTTTAAAGTTGGAAGCCTTCCTGGCATATCCATTGTAGTATTTAAGCTTGGAAGACATGTAGGTATATCAACTGTTGTATTGAGACTCTTTGCTGGTGTTATAGCAAATGTAGCATTAATTGAGCAGTCAATAGGCTGAATGTCCTCTAACAATTCCGTTTTATCAAGGTTCACGCCCGAGTTTCTTGTGACATTGAAAGTATTAATACCACATCCTTCAGTCATGCTAACAAACCCAAAGTCTTTAGTTAGGCTTTTAGGTTCAACAGATTCACTCTTTTCAGGGGTTTGTTGAAAAAAAGGTGAATGAGGTACTGGGTTACAGTTCTCTGCCCGTTGTTCTTCTGATTTCACTTTGCCATCTTCACTTGGAAGACTAAAGCCAGAGAGCACAGGAGAATCAGGTATGGTATTTTGGATGTTCATTATTCTAGGAGTGATGGGAGAGTCGTGGATAAAGCTCTCACCCACACTCGACAAGTTAAGCCCAGATGGCTCACCCATGTTTAGAGTTGCTGATGGTAAAGCTGATGTACTCTTACTGGATTTCATAATCGACCTCCTGTAATAATAAAAAAGTTCACTTTAAATTGGCAAATATATACTTCATGTAAAAACTTGCTATATCCTTAACCCATTGGACCCGAATGACCTTGCGGTCACGTCATGGAAAAACTGAGTCAAGGGGCAGGTGACACGGCAAACTGGCTGCGGCCTGGGTGACATGAACTTGCTGTCATGAGCAAAGGCATTTGGTGCTTAGAAGTGAGCTTTAGCATTTTTCCCATTGATAAACAAATGTAGAATGTAATGTGGGTAAGCAGTGACTAGAAGAGCGCCGGCTCCAAGTAGGATGCCATTTCCATGCTGTAAACCGTTTTCCTGGCTGCTGTGACAAATAACCAAATGTTCTAAATCCCCCTCCCCCTTTTGCACTGAGTTATTTACTACATAGACAGAAGATATGGAGTCTGCGCAAGGAAAATAATCTATTACCATCTGGATAAAGCAAATAAAAAGACAAATATAGAAATTGGAAATGGTGATAAAGCTAAAAAGTTTACACAAAATAAATTTGCAAAGGGGAGACAGTCTTGTCACCGCTCATGGCTGTTCGTGTGCGGCTGGCCTATGTTCCACATGCCGGGATGTTGGCCGCTTATGTAACCCATTGCCTGAGTTTTCAACCGTGATTTCCGTGACACAACCAGATCCAAAGGGTTAACTCAGTGAAAGGTTCTGTATACCTTTGTTATATTCTTATGTACAGTATCTTTCATGGTGATGAGTTATCATTGACATTTTGTATATCTTTAGCATTCTGGTATGTTCAGTATCTGACTTGTTGATAGGTTTTATGATCATTTAAGTGTCTACACTAACCTAAACATCTTCTGATCAACCATTGTAGCTGGGGATATGAACACACTGCTTGTAATCGTGATCAGAGATTCACCTAATTACCGGCTCTCTCTGGAGACTGGATGCCTCCTCTTTATTTTCCTGGTGTTGATCTGCCCAAATGATCTTTCTCCATTTTCTCTACAATACTCTGCCAAAAACATTGCAAAACAATTGTAGTTTTGTGGATATTATTCAAAATTACAATTTTTAAGAAATATGTCTAAGGTAACTTTAAATAAAACAATAGTACTATTACTACTACTACTGCTGACAAACACAGGTGAAGTTTTCATAACCAATCACTGTGGATAAGTGAGACTCTAGTCATGACTTAGAATAAACATGAACCAGAGTTCCACTTACCCAAAGAGATGGTATAATCCAGTATAAAATTTGGTTTGTCTATTCTATGTTTACATACAATTTTGTTGCTTTCCTATCTATTCTTGGTCCACACTGTGTTAAAGGACTCAGTATGGTGGATGAGTAGTTCTCTAGTCATGAGGGTAATTAACATGTACCAAAGAAATACTCATCCATTAACTGAACAATAACAGTGATGGAATGCTGGAAATCCATGCCATGAAGTCAAGATGCACACCTTTGCAGATGTAAAATGAAAATAAAGTAGGAAAAAATAATAATTCAGATTTTTCTCTTGTTATGCCAGTTATTGGGTGAAGTTCTGTAGTCAAGAGACCTAGATGGTGGGATCCAATGCTGGCGCTCTACTTTGCAAGGACAAAGCTAACCTCACCACCCACCACAAAGAGTAAAACTTAATGCACTTGCAGCATTGCTAACCTCCTGTTAAAACAAAGGCACATCAAACAAAAAACGAATGTTTAGGAGAAAAATGGAGCAGGTCATTGAGTTGGAACTGCTGTGTTGTTCCTACTTAAAATACTTATTCTACAGATATCTTATAATCTACATATATATCACAGTGCATATTATCCTTATATCAGTATTTACTAATCACAAGTTTTTAACACATTGATTTATTTACTTTAAAACTGTTGTTAAATTATTGTCAATTAATAACTGTGACTGCAATAATGAAGCTATCAAGAAGTTGCTAGTCAGCCTCTAAAAGGTGTATATAAACCCAAAATCTGTTACACAAATGTGTAAAATGTATTAAAAGGACAAACTAACCTCAAAGTACTTTTCCATCTCTGGTGTACATTGGTTACTAGCACGTAGCTGAACATAGAACTGTTTAGTGGTGTTCAGTAGCTGGCAAATCAGCTGTTCACTGGCTCTCTGTTCATTGAAACTTTCCTTCACCATTCCTCTCAAGTAGTCTGCCAGCTGGTGAAGGTCACGGTAAGCCAGCTGCAAAAACATAAAATCTTACACCTACCTGCTTTGTTCGATCAATTTATATACAAAATCATTTTGACTTATAACATTCATCTGATTTGGTGAGATTAAAGCATACTCAAGATAAAAATGAGAGCATACTTACACCAGTTTCATTCTTGTCAATAAGTGTCTGAGAAGCATGAGATGGTTGGCTTGATCCTGGTCCCACTGATTCAAGGCTCTTTGAGCAGCATGAAGCTTTTCCAAGTTGGCATCCAGCTTGGCTTCAACAGTTTGCTGTAGTCTCTTTGTCTGGCTTAGCCTGATGCCAAGGTTACGAACAGTGCGTTCACACTTTGAGATACTCTGGCAAGATAAATAGAATATCAATATTTTATGAAAAGCACAATGCTATTATGACATTTCTTAATAATCCCTACATCAATCTGTAACTCCAAAATTGATTATAACTATAGCTGCACAAGCAAAGAAAGTGACAAAAAAATTTACATAGTGTAAAAATCATGTTCCAAGTGCCTAAGATCACTTTAGATAAAGGTTTCTCAACATTTGGAGTCTGGTGTCCTTTTCATACATTCATCCTAGAATTCTGACTACTTTATAAATATATGAATACTAATATATTATACATATAGTTACTCTTGAATGTGCAACTAAGAGTAAATTATTGTAAAATAATATATGTAATGAGAAATTTTGAGTTACATCAACATAGGCTCAATTTACATTTTCCTAATGCTGTAGCAGTAATTTCAAAGTCAAGACCACAAATATGTAAAATGTTAAGTGACATACTTAGAGGATAACCATGACACATGTAGGTCATAATACAGTTTGAGAACAAATGCTCCAGATACTTGAATTTTAAGAGAAATGGTAATGGTTCTGGTTATTTTGTGTGTGCAACAGAATCCACAATACATGACTGTGCCTTCATTTACCAATTTTCCAACAAACATGTTTAAAGAAATTCAATGCCTAAAATTTTCAAGCCCTTCTTACCTTGTCCAGCCGTTGTGACGCAAAGGCAATGATTTTCATCCTGTTCAGACGCATGGTACAGGTATGGATTTTGAGCTCTACCTCCCTCTGTGAACTTTCTAACTGCAACATCTCTCGTCTGAGTGCTTTCCTCTCACTGCTGGCTTCCACAAGCTTTCTCTGGATTTCAGCTTCTTCCTCTGATACCTCTGTTACCACACCACTCTTGGCTTTTAGCTCCTAGGGGAGGGTAATATATTTTCTAGAAATAGGGTACATAAATAATTTCATTCTTTATCAACATTTCTAAAGACCTGTCACTTGGAATCATGATACTGGTCGAGGAGATTCTGGATCTTCAACTTTAAAGCAATAT